CGTACCGGATACCTATAGCTACGTTGGTTAGTACTTGACTACCGACCTTTTACTGTGGGGGCCTAGTCACCTGAAGGGTCAATCCCACGCTTTACAGCCCCTTTAATGGTATTCTAAAGGAAAACGGTAAGCTGTTTTAGAAGCTGTGCTAGCCTGCCATGACCGGCTTGCGGTTGGGTTAAAATTCAGTTTCACATGAGAAGATTCTGCACGTAAAGTCCGGAAAGGATAAAATCGCGGCAGCCGGAATTCTAATTGACAAAATCCCCGACATCCACGTTCTCGACAGCCAGAATCCCAACAGTTAAAATGCCGACGAGAATATGTCGGGATTTTGGCTGTCGAGACTTATTTCAGTTGTCGGGATTACTTGTCGGTATTTTGCCTATCAGGATTCTGGCTGGAATTCCTCGAAATTCCTATGAAAATCACAGATCATGCCTCGATAATCCCCAATTCCCACGGATATGTGTGCGTCAAGACTTCGTCTTTTTCGCGCTTCTTCCCAGCTTCTTCCCCTTCTACGTCCCCCAGTCTCAGGCCGTTTCCAAAGTTTTCAAGTGGTTCGCGGGGTGGGGTGCGGCTCGACAAAATTCTCACACTTGTTTTCTCGCAGGGACCCCCTTCTGCTTCCTTACCCTTGCGTCGGATGTGCCCCTTGTCACTCGCCTAAAGCGAAGAATCGACCCCTTACGTCGATTGGGTCTAGCCAGCTACGCGACACGGCAAAACGAATTTACGATTTACGGCAAATAACCGAAAACGTTGGCCTTCAAAGCCTCAAAACGAAATTACCCCGTAACTTGGCTTCTTGCGTAGGTGTCTAGGACTAGTCGACCGAAGGGGTCGATTTTGGTGCTTCCAAGTGCCTTTAAAATCTCGGAAGATATCTGCAGTACATCTACCTAACACCTTGCTCAAAAAATCTCTGCTTCCAACCGCTCCGGAACGCCGCAAGGGGAACGAACCTTTGCTTTCCGACGAGTTTTAGGCTCTCGCGTAGCTGTCTACACCTAGTCGATATTAGCCGTCGACTTTGGTGATTTATATTTTTAAAGAGAAAGCATCCTAACTTCATGGCCCCCTGAAAAAAACACCCAGCATCATTTTGGGGCCAGAAATTGGAGTAATGGCGGCGGTGGGCTTGGATGGACTCTCGCGCTCCACCGGTGGGCCTCCCCTTCCATACTGCCCCGAAATTGCATATCGGATTACAACAAGGGCCCCCGGCCAGTACCAGCCGAGCGTGTGCCCCAGATCGGGCGGAAAAACTAGACCGTGATGACCTCGCCTTCCGCTTTTTGGCCTGGGGAATCCGCGTAGAACCAAATTTTCTCAATTTTTTTTGGTGAGGTGAGTTTTTCCGGGCCTTATAAGTTGCCTCTAGCCTTTGACCGCAAACTTTAAAGGAGCATGGAAGGCACGAATTCGGGGATCTGTCAAAATCTCGAATTTTCATAATATCGAATTTTTACAATCTCGAAATTCCCATGGTCTAAAACAGCATTAAAAGCGCCGGAAATTGTACGCCTACGCCCTGAATCCAGCATAGGCATATTTCGAGAATCTGAAAATTCGAGGTTCTGAAAATCCGAGATTTTGAAAATTCGAGATCCTGAAAATTCGAGATTTTGAAAATTTGAGATTCTGAAAATTCGAGATTTTGATTTTCGAGGTTCTGATTTTCGAGGTTCTGAAACGTATTCTTCAAAAGGCCGTTTTCCTGTAGTTTTGTTGCCGTCCTAACCCCTTTAAACCGTAAGTGTCCACGATTTTGAGACTTATTTTCGTTTGAGCTTTTCTGCTCGTCTGTTGTAGCCCGCCTAAATCCAAGTTCTCCCTCGATAATCGCCAGTTGCCACGAGAATCCCGACTCTTCGGTGATGTTCCTCTGGTTGCTACAACATGCCAATTTTCCCCTTGTTCTCCGCCGCCGCGGATTTGCGTCAGCCGCTCATCTACTGACTTCGTGTATTTTTTGGCTTACTGTAACTGGTTTCGGTGTGCATTTTTTACGGCTACGATTTGCTTTATCCCCCCCTACGGATGTTTCTGGCTATAACTTTTTAATTTTACATTATTGTAGGCTCAAATTAAAACTCGTAGTATATTTTTTGACGCTTTATCATGTGGCGTCGCAAAAACCCCGAAAAAATAGCGAAATATCAAAAATTTTGAGACTCTTTGGCTGTGGGGGGGGGGGGGTAAAGCAAACTCTAACCGTTTTTACTGTATGTTTCCGTTTCTCCACCGTTTTACAGTACCTATTTTCTCTCGCCTTCTTGGTTCCTCTCGTCGAATCAGCTTTTATGAAAATTTTCTAGATCTCATGGCCGCCCTTCTTGTTATCTGTTGTTTTGGCGGCCAGCCGTATGTGGATTTGCACTTGGAAAGGGTGAGTTTACAGGGACTAGGGCGAGCGAAAATCGACCCTTCGATCGACTAGGTCTAGACAGCTAGAGTACGGTACGCTACGCTAGGCTCCGTTCCACGCTAAAGTCCAACACACGCATCAGTCCCTTTGCCTCTACGCGTCATTTAGCGTCTGGCGTACTTCGTCGTTCTAGACTTCGTCGACGGCAGCGTCGAATCTTGAGCTTCTTAGCGCCTGTGAACAGCTTTAAAAGCCTAAAATTCAACGTAGTATTTGCTAATAAATAATCCCTTCAGATACACTCCCAACACCTCATCGACCCAACAGACTGGATAGCCATGGACACAGCCGGTGATCTCATTTCTAATGTATCAGAACCTGTGCCGGGTTTGGATCGAATATTAAGGTAAGTTGAATCCCTTAAAAGGACCAGGAAAAGCGAAAATCGACCCCTCCCTCCGACTCGATCTAGACTGTTACGCCATGGCCCAAAATTGCACAAAATTTACGTGTATTTTGGCGCTTCGTGTAGCGGTCTAGGCCTAGTCGAAGTGAGGGGTCTCAGTCCCTTTAAATTCATTTTAATAACCGCATTGCGCAAGGTCATTAATTTGTTTTAGAGGCGGCACACCCTTGGCGTCGTGTGATTTGTACAACATCACATTTACCACCTCAGCCGATCAGTCGATATTTTCTAAAAATAATGGCAGTTTGGAGTGCAGGTTGGTGCCTATTTCTCTCTTTGCCTTTCTCCCACGCTGGCTCGCTCGCCCTCTTTCTCTCTCTCTCTCTCTCTCTCTCTCTCTCTCTCTCTCTCTCTCTCTCTCTCTCTCTCTCTTTCTCTCTCTTTCTCTCTGACGTACTCTCTATTCTCGCCTTCACCGTCTCTATACCTCCCTTTCTAGTCCAATCTACTCATACCTTGCCAGTCCCTTTAAACGCCCGATTGTCTCAAGCCCCTCTTCCTATTGAGTTGTAAAAGTCACCGGGGTCCTCGGTGCCTTTTACACTTTCCCGACAATAGATTTGCATTGTCCGTAGAGGCTTCAGGCAGGCGCCAGCCACCGATCAAGCCCTCCCCCCAAGCAGTCAATGCGCAATTGTAATGCGCAAGATAACGGCGAGAGAGTGGGAGAAGAGAGAGAGAGAGAGAGAGAGAGCAAGGGGACACATAACACTTTGGATTACGGGGACCAACTGAGAGCGAACAGTTGGCCCTATATGAAATCCCTAGGCGGGGATGAGTCGGACCTGGGCTATGCCATTTTCAAGTTGGACTTCCGGCGCAAGCTGTAGTTCTTTAAGGCTTCTTAGCTCTAAGCTTAGATGCTTTTAGCTTCCTCTTGAACAAAACATGTTTAAAATTTGACAGCTACCTACCGAAATGATCGTTTTAAAGCGGCCAGCAAGCGTCAGAATCGACGCTTTTTATCGACTAGATCTAGACAACTCTGAAACCCACGATTTTAAGCATTCTCCATTTCTCGAGACGGCTACATTCGACTTAAGCAGAGTGAAGCTTCGCGAACTTCGCATTCATGCATTTTTCTGTGTTTTGAAGTGCAGTGTAGCTGTCTGGACCTAGGGTATGGAAGCGGTAGATTCTCGCGCTTTCTAGTCCCTTGAAAGCTGAATAATCCGAGATTTGGTAGTCTATTAGAGTACCACCAAATCCTCTCTTTCTTCTCATCATTGCCACCCTCTTTCTTTGATGCCGTTTCCATCGATCACAGAGAGAAAGGCAGGGCCCCAGGCCGGTGTGGCCCGGGGGCCATTTCGCGAAAAGCCCCCGCCACGCGACTCGAGCTATTTGGTTGTTTTCGAGCAGCTTTGAGCTCTAACTTTGAGCGCGAACTTTCAAGTTAGCTCTCTCAAAGCCCTTTTTGAACATTTTTGTGTTCGAAGGAATATACCGCAAATTTGGCGGTGCCGACATCTTTAGATTTTTTGAAAGCTTCAGCTTTGAGTGCAACTGATTTACTTAAAATTAAGCTACCGGAAACTGTATGCTATTCTTCCGCGGCGCTGCTAGCTACGCGAACAGTGCCTATGCAAAAATCAGCTCAAAAAGGATAGTAGGGCGAACTTAAATCATTTTTACGATCTTAATTGAAGTGCAGATTCCAGTAATCAAATTTAACCTCTGTACGTTGTTATTTAAGGTGTTTCGCATTACAAGTTATTCCTAAAACATCACTGCCATCCGATACCCCAAATAAATAGCCAAAAAGCCATCGCCAGTCTCGCTGCCGGCGCTCTATTTGAATAGCCGCCGCGCGTTGTTTTTCTCCGAAAAACGGAGCCCCTAAAATGGTTATTATGAATCCCAATTTCCTCTTGATTTTGAGCATATATTTTTATCGATTTACTCGATCCAATCAATTAAAAAAAATCAAATTTTCAGGTGCCCGCTGCGCTACTCCGGACAGTCGTGCGAGGTGCAGCCACCCATTGCCTTGCCTTTGATACAAACATATGTAAGTTGGAATCGCAAATGATCTCTGCTAGCCTGCCCCTTCCATTCCCAAATGATCTCTGCTAGCCTGCCCCTTCCATTCCCAAATGATCTCTGCTAGCCCGCCTACACCATCGTTTTTAGAACTTCTTCACCCCGTTCGCCGGCAGCATGATCCTGATCGTCGGCGTCGTGTTGCTGGCCATCTTCTTCGTCACGATGCTGGTAGGTTCTTAGAGGCTTCTCCTAGATGGAAAGAGAGAAAAAGAAAGAGAGAGAGAGAGAGAGAGAGAGAGAGAGAGAGAGAGAGAGTGAGAGAGCGTCAATCGCTGTTAGCGTCGTCACCCATGCGTATCGAGACGTTTTTTAGCGAAATGGCCCGCCTCCCTTATTTTGTGCCCCCGGGCCATGAGTCACACTCAGGTTTCGTAACTGGTCAAGCTCCTTTCTCGAAACTTTTTTTGGGAGCTTGACGCTATCGAGCAGCCACATCCGGGCCCCGCCCCTTTTGTAGCGACCTCTAGTTTCCTTACACAATTGATGCGCTGACGAAAGCTGAATCGGCTGACTTTCTCATTCTACTTGACTTTTTTGCTAACGTTTAAATTTGGAGATAGGCGCTAGAACCTACCCCTTACGCGACTAGGTCTGGACAACGACGCGATGCGCCAAGACGGGCAAGCAATCGGAATAAGACCGATATCAACCTCCGGTCATTAGAGTCAGAAAGATGTAAATTCGATGTGTTTTGGCGCATCGCGTAGTTGGCTAGACCTAGACGATGAAACGAGTAGTTTCTCCCGCTTCCCAGTTCCTTTAAAGTGTATTTCACGGTTACTGCTGCTCAATTCTTGGCTTTTCGGCTTCCGGTTTAATTCCATCGACCCCAAAATTTTTCTCAAAACACCCCAGGCGTGTTGAGTTTCAGCTGTTGCCCGCATGTGTGTATCCTCAGGGGTAAAAAGAGCCCCGGGAGCTTTTCGTTGGCCCTTCTCTCCCTCCTCCTCCTCCGGTGGCAATTGATTTTTTTGGGCCCCCTTCGGCTGGGGCGGCGAGAGGGGCCCACAAGGGCCCCATTTTTCCCGCACCATTGGAGGCTTTTTCTCGAAAGGGTAGGCCCCAAAGGGGGCCCACCCTCATACCCATGCATGGCCCATTTTGGGGCGAGTGTCTTGGCTTCGTTTTTGTGTCTCTGGGCTTTTAAGTGACGTTGAGCGACTTCAGAATTTTTGTTCGCCTCCTTTATGATGCACTTACTTTTCGAAATCTTTAAGCCTTTGAAGCCTAAGTCTAAGTTTAGCTCTAGCTGAAGCCTAAGCCTCAAAAAAATGAACTGAAAACTAACCCAAGCATAAGCCTAAGCTAGGTCTAAGCTACTCCTAAGCTAAGCCCAAAGTTAAGTCGAGCTCAAGTATAACCCTAAGCCTAAGCCTAAGCCCAAGCCTAAGGCCAAGCCTAGGCCTAAGCCAAAACCCAAGCCAAGCCTCAGCCTCAGCATCGAATGACATGACATCGAAACACGATTTATCTGGCTGGAAATTCCAAGTTTTTCAAGCGTGTTTGGAAAAGCGAAACGTCCTGAGCATTATTGGCTTAGTTTCTAGAACTGCGGACTGTAGTTTCCCCGCGTTGGCTGCAGAAACCAAGTTTTTGAAGCTCATGAAGCGCTCGAAGCCGTGCTTTTTTTTATTTTGTGTAATTCCACGAATCGAGTTTCAAGTATCTAAAAAAATTAATTTCGTCATTGTTCCAATTGCTTTGGTATTTGAACAGCTTCTGCAGCTTTCTAGAAGCCGGTTTAGGTAGTTGAACGTCCACTCTAAAGCTAATCCCATGGCTGAGCCTGACCTAAGTTCATTTAACCCGGGTCCCAACTTTACGAAAACCTATGCCCCTGATCCTGAATTCTCCGACCATTTTCAAGCCAAAAACTCCGCGGGCCCGCACTCATTTTAATGGAGTTTTGAATCGGAAATGAGTCCTAGGGTGGACCCGGTTGGTTGCCTCGGCACCCCTGCGAAGAGATTCTCGGGGGTTGGGGGCTACTCTCTTTTTGCCTTTTACACTTCGGAAAGGGTGCTGACATGCTATAAGACGACACCCCTCCTTTCCTGCCCACACACACACAAGCCCCCCCACCCACCCCCGATAAAATAATCCCCCCGGAATTATGGGACGACTTCGCTGGTTCTCTCTGGCTCTCTCTCTCTCTCTGTCTCTCTCTCTCTCCCCTGAATCTGCCCTTCGAGAACTTGTTGGCTTACGCTACGAAATGCTGATTTTAAGGGAGGCGGGATTAGGGGTATCTGATTCAAGACTTCTTTCGTTGCACTTTCTAAGGGCTTAAAGGTACCCGGAAAGCAAAACCGGCTATGAATTTGTCCTAAACTTGTCAATTGCGTTCTTCACAACATTGCGCTTTTTTTATTCTGACTGGCGCGCTGTGATGTCGATGCCTAGTCTGCCAAGTGGTCGATTCTTATCTTCTCTACGTCTTAAAGGGACTATCTAGGCAAGACTGTGTTGGGTTTTTCTAGGACATTCGATCCAATTTGCTGGATTTTTCTAATTTTTGTTCTAGACACCACGATCCCGGTCTATGAAATCTTGGCTAGTTGTCTAGACCTAGTCATGATCAAAAGTAGGTCTGGCTCACTATGGTCTTTTAGCGAAGCACTGTCTATAGGTGAGGAACCATTCGCATCGACGCATGCATGCGCATTTTGCGTATATCTTTCTCGTTCTCTCCTTCTCTCTCTCCCTCTCTCTCTCTCTCTCTCTCTCTCTCTCTCTCTCTCCGTCTTCCGGTAATCCTTCGAATTTTTCATCGACTCAACTGTCTCTCATCTCTAGAAATGGCCCCAGGCCAAGTTAGTCATACCCCTCGTCACGCTGCCATCAAGCTTATCAGCAACATTGTGAAACCTTGATGTGCTAGTTTTACAGCTTAACGGGTCCATCCGGTGCAACCCGCCAATTTTTTTGACTCGGCCCGAAAAATGGCTGGGTCTCCCCGCTCAGCGATATATTGTGCCCCATTTTATGGAGCCGCCTAACAATGGCCCCTGGCTGGGTCGCGGCACTCGTTTATTGGGGCCAGCCGAGTCTGGCACCGCCGATAAGCTTTGGAGGGTTCATTTGAGTTTTCACACCTTTGCAAGAAAGCGCGTTTTTCAAAATCTAGGGATTGGCTCTATTAAAGGACCTAGCAAGGCAGCTTTATGTAAAGTTTTTGTGACTGGTTATGCTTTCCTGATGCCTTCTTCTCGAAATTTCCTGCTTAGTTGACCTCTTGTTTGGTAGATCGTACCGGCCTTTACATTGCGTAATCGAATACTACCCATTTAAGACGACCGCGCAGGGCGGTGCGTTGCGTGTCGCGGCAAATTTATAGCTTGAGCCAGCCAGCTATTCATAAAAATGTTTTCGGCTTCTTTAGCTAGCTGAATAGCTTCTTAAAAGCTCCCAAAATTTCCAAATTTGACCACGCGCATCGCCTGGGGCTACACGTCGACGGGGCACTCCAAAAGACGTAGGAGTCGAAAAATTTCCTTAACAAAACCAGCATTAAGCAAAATTAGTGCAGTTCGTAAAGCGTAACACCTCAAAGTCGTAGCGGCCCCAAGATTTTGTGCCTTAAGAATGCCTTTAAAACGTTACAGTTTTTGGGGATTCGTACAACTCAAATTTGTGAGTACCAAACACTCAAAAGGACTGCAAAAATCCTGTGAATCATAGCCGTTCGTGGGCGGAAAGGCTCGACTACCGTACTCCATCCCTAACCCTCAGCAATCTTTATGAGAGCTTAAACAAGGTTATTTTTGCAGGCCAACCGCTTCTCAGGGTCTTCCTGGGGTCGAAAAAGCACGCGAAAACCTTGTCCCGCCACTCGGTTACACTATTTGCGCTTCTCGTTTTCGCTAATCTGTGGGAGGGTGGAATTGGTCCCGTGGGGAAGAGACCCCCTCATCTCATTCTCCAAATACACAACTGTTTGTCGACAGTCTCCCTTTCACACACAACTTGAAAATTTATTAGGGGGGCAGGGAGGATGGGGTGGTTGGATCGGTTAAGCGAGCCAAAACTCGGGAATTTGAAGCACTTCCGGAGTTTCAGGTGCATATCTTTCTCCCGCTCTCGCTCGCTCTCTCTCTCTCTCCCTCTCTGTCTCGCCGACTTTCTCTCTTTCTCGATTTCTCTCTATATCTCTCTTGCTCTCTGTCTCACTCTACCTCCTTCTAGCTATCTCTCTTTTTGACCCGCTTTCTCTCTCGCCGGTCTCGCTCGCCGTCTCTCTCTCTCTCTCTCTCTCCCTCTCTTTTTCTCGCCTTCGTTCCTGGCTATCCGTTATGCTCCGTTATCTCGCAAAGCCACCCAGCCAGCCTTGTAAGCCCCGGGGCAAACAGAAGCCGAATTTTTGGCACGAGTCCGGCTATACATTTCGAATTCCGATACTTTTCTGATGACGTTTCTGAGATTAAATATACCTTACGCCTGAAAATATACTCATCCAACTATTCCAGATGCTTCGCGGCTGTTTCTGCGACTGCTTCGGCCCGATGTACTGGGGATGCGGCAGAAAGGACGAGGAGGAGGATCGCCCTCTTGATCAAGAAGTCCTCCAGAAGATGCTCAACGAGTGCAAGAAGAGCGATGTCAGGAGGGAGCTGATGGTATGTATTTTGGCCTAAAGGGACTGGAAAGCTGGAGAATTGATCCCATCGCCCTACTAGGTCTGGACAGCCAAGCGGACCGCGTAGCCGTCTAGACCTAGTCGACGAAAGGGGGAAATTTTGGAACCTAGTTTTTTCAAGGATATTTTTAGCGAAATCTGATGTCAGCACCCCTTTAAAATTGGAAAAAAAATTGTGGAAAATCTTTGTTTTTTTCAGGCCCACGAGCAAGAGTACGGTCCCGTCTCCACGATCTCAGATGGGATGGCTCAGCCCTATAACACTACCGTTATCGTCCCTTCCGCGCCGGCAGAGTACAGGTACGGAATTTTGGTGATTTCGACGAGGAAACGCGTCATTTGGCCACTTACGTAGCTGTCTAGACCTAGCCGGCCAATGGGGTCGATTTTCACACGTTCCGGTCGCTTTAACATAAATTTCCAGAAGACCTGCCTCCCCTCCGCCAGCCTACAGCTCCGTCGCCGGAAGTGCCGAACGACTCAACTCCCAGATGCCACATACCCAGATTTGAAGCCAAAATGTTTAATGATTTATTTTCCTCTAGTTTACCTTTGATTAATGTGCAATTCCGTACCCAAAAATTCTGTGAAAACCGGTAGCCTTTCCCCTCTCAGTATCCACGCTAGCCATCAGCCCCTTGTCATTTCGGAGACCCAAGAAAATTTAAAAAATTACGGGTTTGAAGTTTTTTTAAGATTACTCTATCAGTTACGCCATGAAATTCTGAATTTTGATCACAAAGATACCAACAAAAATCTCGTGCCTAATCAGTTATACCCAAGATTGAATCTCTCATTCTATCCCTTTCTCTCTCCCTCTCTCTCTCTCTCGCTGTCTCTATCTCTCTCTCCCTCTCTCTCTCTCATTCTCTCATGCTCTTTAGCCTGCCTCATACAAAATGCCATGAGATTTCCAATTTCAAGTTTACTATTTTTTTTTTATCGTGACTTATCAGCTGAGTGAACTCTAGTCAAGTGTACATAAAATTTCAATGTTCTTTTTGTTTGTTTTTGAATTGTCTACAGTATTTTGTCGGAATAAATGTTTTTCGATCTGGTTTTTAAGGTCTACAAATCACATTTGAAGATTTGCTGATTATTGGAATTTATACATCTTTAGATTTCATTTATATTTCTTTACGGTTTTTTAGTCCATATTTGTGAAGAAAATCTCAGACAATTGTAAAGCTTTTTATTCTATTAAACAGCATAAATCGGTATAGAAAAATTTTAGTTGTAGAGAGTGACGAGATCGAGAAAATCAATAGAAACTTAGAGAAATAGGCGACAAATGAAAATTTGACTGCACTACATGAAATAAGTGTAAATTAAGGGACCCGTCATACTACAGAATCACATAAACTTGATAAAGGTAGCTTAAAGAAGCGCAGATTAAAATTATATAGTAGAAGCCTCAGTAGATCCTGCACTCGCACTTGTCGATGACGGCGTGCGGGAGAATGTTCTGAAAAATGGATCTAAAAAACCCAATCGGAAACAAAAAATAAAAAATCTCGAAAAATAGCAAAATTTAGGAAACTGGTCAGCAGGCGACAGCGTAGAAAATCGAGAAAACTAATTTTCTCTTTAAAAACGTTAGAAGTTCGAACCTAACTAATTTAAATTAACAAAAAAACAGATTTTATAACTCCAATACCATCAAAAACTTACCGCTCTCTCCTCATCCAACACCGTATACGAAACTTTCGTGTCCTTCCACGACGCCGGGACGCAGTGTGGGCGCTCGTTTTCTTGGTTTTCGTACTAAAATAGCATTTTTAATACGATTACAACTAATATGGTTTTTAATACCAACTCAAAGTTCAAATTTTGGGTGTCACTTACCATACTCAAATCCGCGAACATACACATGCCAATGTTCAGCTGGGCGGGCGAGTTGAGGCCGGGCGGCTTAATGGAGAGCGGGACCGGGCCGCAGGCCTGAAATGAGGAGATGTAGAAAGAGAAAGAGAAGGAGAGAGAGAGAGAGAGAGAGAGAGAGAGAGAGAGAGAGGGGAGAGAGATAGAGGGACGGATAGCGAGAGAGACAGAGATAGGGAGATGGAGGACGAGTCAGATCGAGCTCAAGCTAACCTGCTGGCAAGGAATCCCGATCGGTCTCGTCCTGATGTGGAGCATGGCCTCCTGAATGCCCAAAATCTTGTTGGTCGAGTCGATCGGCACCAGAGCCACGATGGGGAACATTTTCTCGTCGAGCACGAGCCTGAAAGAAAATACTTTTCTCTAAACTCGATGGAACGTTTCAAAATGGCTCTACAAAAGGCTAGAAAGTGCAAAAATCGACTACGTCTAACCAGCGGATCCAAATTGAATTTTTGGCGCTTTGCCTCGCTCGCATTTCAGTAGCGTTTTCCAGTTCTTAGCTCCTTTAAATTACCAGAAATTGACTTACCTTTCTGGTTCCGGCAGTCGGCACGTAAAATAAGCGTTTCCCTCGCCGTCCAGGTCATACGGGACCGTGCAGAGAGTGTTCTGAAATATTTTTTGAACATCATCCAATTCCCAAACAATCTCTGCTAGCCTGCCCCTACCATTCCCAAATGATCTCTGCTAGCCTGCCCCTTCAATTCCCCAATGATCTCTGCTAGCCTGCTCCTTCCATTCCCAAATGATCTCTGCTAGCCTGCCCCTTCCATTCCCAAATGATCTCTGCTAGCCTGTCCCTTCCATTCCCAAATGATCTCTGCTAGCCTGCCCCTTCCATTCCCAATGATCTCTGCCAGCCTGCCCCTTCCATTCCCAAATGATCTCTGCTAGCCTGCCCCTTCCATTCCCAAATGATCTCTGCCAGCCTGCTCCTTCCATTCCCAAATGATCTCTGCTAGCCTGCCCCTTCCATCCCCAAATGATCTCTGCTAGCCTGCCCCTTCCATTCCCAAATGATCTCTGCTAGCCTGCCCCTTCCATTCCCAAATGATCTCTGCTAGCCTGCCCCTTCCATTCCCAAATGATCTCTGCTAGCCTGCCCCTTCCATTCCCAAATGATCTCTGCCAGCCTGCCCCTTCCATTCCCAAATGATCTGCTAGCCTGCCCCCTTCCATTCCCAAATGATCTCTGCTAGCCTGCCCCTTCCATTCCCAAAATGATCTTTGCTAGCCTGCCCCTTCCATTCCCAAATGATCCCTACAAGCCTGCCCCTTCCATTCCCAAATGATCTCCTAGCTCTGCCCCTTCCATTCCTAAATGATCTCTGTAGCCTGTCCTTCCATTCCCAAAAGATCTTTGCTAGCCTGCCCCTTCCATTCCCAAATGATCTCTGCTAGCCTGCCCCTTCCATTCCCAAATGATCTCTGCTAGCCTGCCCCTTCCATTCCCAAATGATCTCTGCTAGCCTGCCCCTTCCATTCCCAAATGATCTCTGCTAGCCTGCCCCTTCCATTCCCAAATGATCTCTGCTAGCTTGCCCCTTCCATTTCCAAATGATCTCTGCTAGCCTGCCCCTTCCATTCCCAAATCATCTCTGCTAGCCTGCCCCTTCCATTCCCAAATGATCTCTGCTAGCCTGCCCCTTCCATTCCCAAATGATCTCTGCTAGCCTGACCCTTCCATTCCCAAATGATCTCTGCCAGCCTGCCCCTTCCATTCCCAAATGATCTCTGCTAGCCTGCCCCTTCCATTCCCAAATGATCTCTGCCAGCCTGCCCCTTCCATTCCCAAATGATCTCTGCTAGCCTGCCCCTTCCATTGCAATTGATCTTTGCTGGCTGGGATTGCTTACTTGTTCTCCATCCTCAACGGTCAGAATCCCGCGGTGTGGCGCATACGGGCTTCCCATAACTCCTCGGGCTCCAATGGTAATTTCGACAATGGCTTCGACAATTTTGTGGCCGTAGGTGAGGGTGATGAACTGAAAACGCCTTGTAATTTAACAATGCTGGTTGGCTCTCAAACTGTTGTTACATTTTTTAATGGAAAAGCTCTTGGTTAGCGTCTAAACCGGCTTTTTCAAAATCAAAATCATAAAAACAGTTTAAGTTATTAATTTAAGTTAGGGTAAGTTTGCTCTGTATGCAACCTCTACCCACCTGGTCCATCTCAAAAACGACACCGCGGTAGAAGCGGTACGAGGGAAGATGCGCTGATCTTATGGCAAACCTGTAGTGTCGATAGGATTCCTGGAATTTATCGTTTAGTTTAAACCGCGTGTTGATTTTAGACATAGTAACGCCTTATTTTAATGCGCTTTTAAAATTTTTCCACAATTTTAATATACTTGAAAAATACCGGAAACTTTATTGTAATTGTTCATTGGATCAGAAAACTAAAATTTAATTCAAAGTAAATCGAAACCAGACCAAAAATTTCGATAAAAGCTATAATTTTTAATTATGAATTTAAATCGAAAATTATTCTATTGAAGACAGTTTTTTAGATATTCTATTTTTCTAAATTCTTCAGGTTTTTTTGGGGATATTTAATCAACTCGATAGCAAATATTTAATGGAGAAAATCAAAATTGCAAAACATCTAGACTGACCTGTTTTTATTTGAATTTAATCCATAAACAGAAAAATACAAAAATTACTTACCCAAGCATTCTCGCCCATCGCCCAGTCTCCGCCAGCCGTGTGCAACAGGACAGCTCGCCGGAAATCGGCTTTCCGGTCGTTGGCCTCCGACTCGGGGCCCCACACCGGATTCGGGTCTGCGGTAAGCCGCTCGGCGCGGGATACGGTAGCAACCGAATACGGTAGTAGGAGCAGCAGAAGCGTCGCGGAGACTAGGGAGTAGATCATGGTGTAGTAAATTTCAGTAAGAGTGATTTTTTCCGTGATTTTCCTCTTTTTTATAGGGTGAAAAGGCAGATGTGGTTGAGAAAACTGTGATACCGTTGTAGCCTGGAGTCATAACTTCAGGTCTGGGATGTGCTGGCGCACTAATGGGTATCTCGACATACAAGTAGAAGCGCCCGTCCATTTACGTTGATAAGCTTTGAATATGCTGCGTATTAATCGAAGCTGTTTACCCCTCGAATTTCGAATTCTTATCTTTTCTAAAATCTAAAAAAATAAATATATCTTCAATTTTGAAGGATGCGATACGCTTTTCCAAAAACTATTGCGAGTTTTTTTTAGCTTTTGCTAATGCTGATTTTATTGGCTCCTTATCAAGGAGCCTGGGTTTTTACGTATTTGAGTTAACTTATCATTTAACCGGGTTGTATTGCTTGAAAGAATTGCATAAATTTTGTTGTCAGTGCAGTTAGGATGAAGCTTACTTTAGGATGCAACATACTAAATTCTCCGATTTTCAAGTATCTAAAAACTCTTTATTTATTGATAATTTTTAAGATTGCGATAGAATTTTTCGGCTCTGCTTTTTCCTACTTTAAAAAGCATTCGCATTTTAACCACGTTCGAACTGCCGAAATTTCATCATGTCGAACTTCATGATGCGGCAATTTCGGGATTTCGATCAGCACCCATGGAATTTCGGGATCCTGAACCATCGGCATTATGAATTTCTATGTTATCAATCCCGACATTGCGAAAGTAACCTTTTTCTATCCTCCAATAATTCGCATATTTTTTGTATTCGATAATGATAACCCTGGCTGAAAATCCAGGTTTTTTGCACTGAATTTTTAATTTCATCTACCGTAATTCTAAAATTCAGGCAAACGCGATCCGGTTCCGCTTGTCAAAAAACGTATATCCTGAATTTTCCATTCTTCCTGTTTTCTAAAAAATCCAAACGCTAGAAATTCTCATTAGTTAAGTTGATAGCGTCATTTTTTTGATTCCAGTAGGACCAGCGTGAGTAATTTGTTTGTTACAAAATACACAAAGTCGAGAATTATTTAAAAAATCACATTTTCCAGCCCCTCCCCTTGCAAAAACCCAGCACACTTTCGCTCGACGTGTGCTGCTGGCCCCGGCCTAGGAACCCGTCGACCCGAGAGCCCCCTAGGAAAACGTGTGTGTGCTGTCCCATGGTTAGTCTCTCTCTCTCTCTCTCTCTCTCTCTCTCTCTCTCTCTCTCTCTCCCCCCTCCGCCTCTCTGACCGCTCTCTCGCCGGTCAGACCCACTTTCCGCAAACGAGAGCCCCCCGGGCGTGTGTGCCTGGTGCCAGTCGTTTTCGCCCCTGCAAGAGAGTCCTCTACGCCGCTTTCTCTGCGTCTCTCACTCACTCCCTGTCTTTCCCCCCTCTCTAGCGTCTGGTCTCTCTTACTCTCCCGCGCTCTCTAGTCTAGGATGGCGGTCTGCGTCTCGCACCTCGTCAGTACTCGTTTTTTCTCATAGTTTAGCCCTAGGGGTAGTTTTCTCTGCGTCTCTCATAGAACTACGGATCTCTCGGCCCCCTAGCGTCTGGGTGCTCTCTTTCTCTCGCTCTCCCTCGCTCTCTCTCGATCTTTTCGGGGTATCTATACCCCTAGAAAGCTGTCCCGTTAACCATACGATGTGCTCTCTCTCTTTCTCTCTCTCTCTCTCTCGCTCTCTCCCGTTGCCCTCATTTTTATGGCTTTCAGCCCTCCTCGCGTTTTCGCTGACCCCGATCTAGGGCTTTCTCTCTCTCGCTCTCTCTCCCTCTCTCTCGCCAGGTCCAAAGGCCCGAGGGCCCGGCCTGCGAATTCGGTGGTCGTCCGTGCCTGGGCCCTAAAAGATGCCCCTACACCCCAGGGGGGGCTAGACGATGATGAGATCCTCCCCTCCTCCCTGCTTCCGACGGCTTTGAATACCAAATTGAGGCGGGATGAATGGGGAAGCGGTTTTTGCAGGAATGAACAGTGATTTTTGGGGCATTGAAGGAGGTGCATAATGGAATAACCTGCGTGATAATCCGGTGTGCAACCGTTGCAAGTGGATGGGACCATGTTGGCTGCAGAGATTTGCTCGATTTCATGGCGTAATCAGTTGTGGACTACCGTTTTCAGAGGTTACTTCAATTATATGGCATAATCAGTTCTTTTATCAGTATATTCAATTTTGAGCGGTTTTTCAATTGGATGGCGTAACCGGTTATCTACTGCCATTCCTGGAATCCTATAAATTGATGGCGTAATCGGTTAAGCCTCGTCGTTTCTAGAAGACCTAAATTAGATGGCGTAATCGATTATCCAATGCCGTTTTCCAGAATCCCGTTGAATTAGATGGCGTAATCGTTTACGTCCTGACCTTTGCAGAACCTTTGTGGATTAGATGGCGTAATTAGTGTCACGTGAAAATTTTCAGTCGAATACTTACCTTTTGACGCTTTCTAATTTGCATGGCCTAATCGGTTGTCATCCGAATTTTTTAAGATTTACGTTTAAGATTCTTTCTGAATTAAGCGGCGTAAATCGTTGTACGCGACTGTTTTTGAGAACCCGCGTGAATTACACGGCGTAATCGGTTTAGAAAGATTACTGCAATTGTAATTGTTGTTTAGAAAATCGCGAAAGAATTATTTTAGCGCTCGTACGTGAATAAAATACTGTAAATAAGCCTACACTGGGAGTTTTTGAGATCTAGTTGACAAAAGATCGATTTTTGCGCTTTCTGGTCCCTTTAAACCACAAATCCGAAAGTGACTAACATTCCCTTGACCATTGACTGACTTCCGGTCACTAGCCCACCCCGGTTTACCAGCAGCGAGCCTGTATTTGTCAAGTATCCTAACACAGCAAGCCTCTCTCTCTCTCTCTCTCTCTCTCTCTCTCTCGCTCTCTCTCTGTTTGTGCGTTTGCCTGCGCTAGGTAATATTTGTGCAGGTGGTAGCAATATTCTGGCCACCCCTGCTTTTTCAGCCCCCAGACGAGTGTTCGCTTCGGGACCCTCGCAGGTCCTCCCCCCCCCCAAAAAAAAGGCCAAAAAAGGGGTGAAAAAATGGCTGTCGGCTGGTGCCATTCGGTGGCGCTTCCCCCCACACGCCCGTTGCCCTACATGGCAACATGGCCCGGAAAATGAGGGAAGAGAGCGAGAGAGACAGAGAGAGAGGCAGAGAGAGCGAGAGAAAGAGAGAGAGAGAGAGAGAGAGAGAGAGAGAGAGAGAGAGAGAGAGAGAGTCGACGAGAGATTCCCTGGCTGAACCAAATTTGCTTCCGGCTGGGGATTACGGTAGGCTGATCTGTCAAAATGACGCTCTACAGATACTACGAAGCAATCACCCGCGGGATGTCACAAAAAATGCAAAGCGGGCTAGCAGAAACCATCCAGGAAGCTCAGGAAAAACATAAAATATTTTTTAAGGAACCAGGAAGGCATAGAAAACAACTAGGTAACTTTTTACAGAAACGAAAAGGTGTTAGAACACAACGATGAATTTTTTGTTAAAGGCACCAATAAGCCAACATTTATCGTTGCAGCCTTTAGGATTTTTGACGGCCATCTAAAAACGTTTTTTACCGGTTTTTTCCACCTTTTCCCGCTTTGATTCAGCTTAAAATAGATAGATTACTGGTCCCTTTAATCGCCCATGCCGGTACCCAGAACGCCGCCGCTACGTCCAGATGGTGATCGATTATGAGAACCGCTGGAGGGCCAAAAAGCCCTCCGCCCGGAGCGCGGATCGACCCTCGTCAAAACCCGGGGTCTATTAGCGGGGGCGGTGGCCTCGGTCAGTCTGTCTGTCTGTCTATCCAAGTCTGTCTGTCTGTCTGTCTGTCTATCCGAGTATGTCTCTCTGTCTGCTTAAGTCGGTCTGTCACTCCGCACTCGATTTGTGGTCGCGGGAGAACGGTGCCTCGGCCCGATTGTCCTAAAAAGTGACAGCCAGGCGTTGGTGGTGAGGTCTGGAAATGGGGTTGCATTGAAATATGGATGAACCTGGAAATGGACTGCAAAATCGGTGATTTTAAAGGGACCGAGAAGCCTGGTCCACGCCCCACTGGTCGGATGTCGCCGCGACGCGACCGCACCGTGCGGCATTTCGGGAAAAAAATGCAAATGTGAAGTTTCTGACGTTAGTTCTGGAAATTCGAATCATTTTAATCAAAATATCGGGTATCACCAAGATCCTTGAAATCCAGCGCCTTACAGGGCATTACGACATGTAATTCACGGGCGCAAAAAAATAAATTTTGCGCCAGGAACGTTTCAGCTTTTTTTTCAAATATTTAGCCTTTTTTCACACAACGTAACACGTTTGTCGTTAATTATAGGCAGCGTAGCTTTTGTCTTAGACCAATAGTCAATCCTCGAAGCCTCGTATTTTGGCTTATTAGCGCCTTTAGTATTGAAATTTTGGGTATCGAATAGTTGTCTAGACCTAGTCGATCGAACACGTCGATTCTCGCGTCCACGGTCCCTTTAAAATAGAGCTTGACCATATTTCGATCGTACAGTGGCTCCACGTCTCTTCCCACCCGTCCGCTCTCTTCGTAAACCTCCTCCGATCGGGCCAGCTCACCCATATCATAAGCCATTTTACGGGCGCGTGAACCAAACGCGACGGGGCGGCCATTGAGCACCGCCGATGGGGTCCCGATTCTCGACGGCCATTTTGACCCGGCGTCGATCGTGGGAAAATACTATATGGCTTGACTGAGGGCCAAGAAGAGTTGGAATTTGAATAGAGAAAAGCTATTTTAAAGGGACCGTGAAGTAGTAAAACCGAACACTACTATCGACTAGGTCTGGACAGCTACGTTACATGCCAAAATACACTTCGAAACGTATATTTTTATGGCTATCAAGATGGAAATGCCGCAGGTTTTGGCAGCCGACGTAGCTGTTTAGACCTAATCCAAATAAGAGGTCGATTCTGGCGCTTCCAAGTCCATTAAACAGATTTTTAAGCCGATTAACCAATAGTCGA